ATCGCCTGTGTGGATATTAGGATGGTACACTCCAGACAATCTCCACAGGAGGAAGGGAGTGTGCAACACATGAGACAGGGGTGGGAAAAACTCAGGGAATATCAGAGAAGAACACAAACACACAGAAGTTGAACGTTTAACCGCTCTTGCCTCTACCATATATAAATATCCAGCATTAGTGAGAGAGTGAAGGGTGGAGAACAAGTCAAGGGTCAAAGAGGGTCCATGTGCTTCTTAAATTAAGCATAAGTGATCTAGCAGTTCTCCATTGTCTTATGGAGCGATTGTGCTATTCTTTTAAAGTAGGAGAGGAGAAAATATTGGCTGTCACAATAATAGGAACATTGATGATGCCATTATTACTACACAGACACATACAGTCACATCCATGTTCATTGTTCAGTAAAACTAACTAACTTTTTGCACAATCGGATTTACATTTAGCCTCAGTCAGTGGCCACTGCAACTTTCAAAATAATATTGAATCTAATATTGAGATTTTAAAATAATAATAATATTTCATAATATTAAAACAATCAGAGATCAAAGAGACAAACTACAAAAAATTATCTTGACAGGACAAATAAAGTTATATTTGATCAACTTTCAATAATCATTGAAATTGAATGGCCTTCTCAGGAATCAACAAGCAGAGCTTTAGATTTAAAAAAAATAATAATAAATTAGACACTGTATGTCCAATATGGAAATACACACTAACGCTTAGACATATGCTTTTACTCATGCATGTACACATTACCAGTAGTCTGACCACAATGCTTAAGCACATTTGGTGTGAGGTTAAAATTAACCTTATGCCTGTACGGCTGTTGGCTTGTCACTCACATTCAGGCACGGTCAGGCTCTCAGAGAACTCAATCCACTCTCTGTTCAACAGATGCCCTACACAAAGTCTCACAACAGAGACATTTCTCAACTAGAAAGAAAGACTAGACTAGCTTGACTAGCTTGGAAACGTGTCCTGCATCAGGCATCTTATGTCATACTGAAACCCATCTTACTGAGATTGTTCCCTCTCAACAGTAAACCCCAATCCAGTCTGCCATCGAGTAAGAATGAATGTCCCATTAGCCCATATTAGTGGCTAATTTATTACTTCCTTGCATATTAAATCAGTCGGCTGTCAAGAAGTCTAAAACTCCATTCAATAGACATTTGAAGTGGTGACAGAACTTTTACTCAAATTTACTCAAAAGAATCCCATTTCATTTTTTATACGGGAAAAGGTTAATAACTTAAAGTTATGTTTAGTGGCCGACTGTTAATAACACCAAAAAGCAACGATTTTTCTTTCAGTAAACTTCAGAATCACTTCCTGTCTCCTAAATTCTTTCATCACTCGTGAACTTTTATGAGTGGGAGAGTTTATCTGTACACTACAGTGCTGAATGCGGCTGGCGTGCCAGATTCAGAACCACAATGACTTTGCTGTGGTAAGCCGTGTGATCCATCAAACGTCAGTCATCATTATTCTTGACATTTTGTCATAAATACTCAAAATGTTTAGTTTACATGACCTGTTTCTGAATGAATCAAGCAGTGATTGATAATGTTAATGTTATTTAGTCTCTACTTGTAATAAAGTAGACAGCTAAACAGCAGCTCAGACACAAAACCCTTTTTAACAATAGCAATTTCACCAATGACAAATTAGAAACTGTGCATATTTGAAAACAATTATACTTTGATATTCTTAAAACCATTAAATTATGTCACACACTTGCAGCAGTTTACAGAAGATTAGGGTGGACGCTTCCTCAGTGAGGTTTCATCGTCAGTCATGGCTTTTTAAGGGTTTCCAACCTTTATGACCAGTGACTTTCCATTACTTTTCCAGTCGTGCATGATTAGATATATATATAACATAGAAACTTTGAATTCTATGTCTAAGTGCAAAGCAATTTATTCAAGACAGAAATGCCTATGTTTCCAGGACTAGAGGATTCAGTGCTGAACTTTTAAAAATCAATATATATATATATATATATATATATATATATATGTTTTTGTTGTTGAAATGAACAAATGGGATGAAATGTTGTTGAAATGAAATTTCCTTTTGTTTTATCTTATTCACTTTCAGATGGTCCAATTGCTTTGTTTGCTCAGAATACACTGCACACGATAAGCCTCCAATGCACTTGGATTCATGCACACTAACATATTCATTTCCTGTATAGAGACCATTTATGTCAAAAGAAAACAAGTTACTTCCACTATCTAGCAGACATTGCCTGAGGATTGCAGCTTCAGCTGTGTTGACTCTATTTGAAAATGTACTTTTTATAAGGAACGGCATATTATCTGTATTCAGAAAGATTTGGGACATCAACACCAGTCCCAATAGACACTCACTAATGCTACCATACACATGTCCCCTGTTTCACGGGACAAGAAGATGTGTTTGCGCTCTACATACTTCAAACAAAGGAGACAGACATTGGTCCCAACTATTTCATGGCATTTTAACTCTTTCTGTAAAGCTGTACAACATTCCTTCCACGTGTATCAATACTAAGGGAATAATAGATTTTCAGTCAGACGATGCCCCGCAGACACTAAAAGAGACCTGTGATGATAATCTCTGGCAGAAGGGCTCGTTTAACCGAAAACGTAAATTAACCACAAAATATTACATTTTTAAAACGAAAAACAAAACAAAGAACATCTTTGTTCGCTTATTTCCGTTCTGGAGTCCATGGGTAACTGTCCTCAGGTAACGTTATCTAACTTAATTCGCTAAAGCGAGAAACTTCACTCACCTGGCCGCTACTGTCGAGTGCTAAACTCAGTTTTTCTGCTACCAAATCCCACAGCGATTAGATAAATTAGATTTTGTCCTTCGGTTCCGTGTTTGACAGTGTAAAATCTTGCCTGTCTCTCTCTCGCAGATGCTCGAGCTCCAGAAGCTCGATCACAAACTGTGCACGCGCTAAGTTACCGAAACTACCTTGTATCATGTCTGCAATGCACGCGCCTCCCCGCGCGTAGCAAAAACACGAATGTTTCTGTGGCGTCTGAACTGTGTGAGACTTTTGTAATTGCATGCTGGAACAAATCCTCAATCAAATTAACAATAAAAAAGGGAAAAAAGGAGAAGAAACTGTTTCTCTTCTGCACGTCCAATCCATTTATATGAATGTAACGGTGATCACACTGTCTTCTTGTGTGTGAATGTTTGTTGTTGTGTTGGATTGTAAATTGCAATCCACATAAAACACAGCGAACACTGGTATTTTAAAGTGAAATTTTATTGTAGAATACAGATCTTCCTTTTGATTGAGTTCAAAATGGATCTTTATTGCCTTTTCGTTCTCACAAAAACATACAAAACATATTTGTCTTCTTAATAGTAGATAGGCTATAAGAGCTAATAACATGAGTGACAGCCTTCAAACAATGACTCAAAACAATTTCAGTTCAAAATAAAAACCAATCATGAAATATATATAAAAATAATAAAAAATAACTGTTTATGCATATTCAGTATTCATTCCTTTTTGGGATCACCAGTTTTTAACAGACGTGGCTATTGACAAGTCAATAAACAATGCAAAAGCTGCAGTTCTGTGCTTTGTATATCAGTGCACCAGCTGGAATAGCCTACACTTCACAGAGAGGCACTACAAGTAGGAAATATACAAAACGTATAATTAAACTGGCGTTTTTATTTATTTATTTATTTATTTATTTTTTGTGAATCTGCTTTTGGAAAGTGATATGACTGTTCAAGCAGCAACAATTGTTCCCAAAACACTGCCATATTAATCATACACATACACAGACAGACAGATATATAAACTTCCCACCTGGACAAATGATGTAGCTCAATTCTTCTGCAATGGATGATGAGTCTCCAACATTCAAAGAACACACTTAAGAGTTGGGATTTTAACTATTTTAGGATTATCAATGGTTTCAGTGTCATGTTAAACCTGGTGCATTTAAAAATGTGTTTCACACCAGAAGTTTTGTAGTACATAAAATGGGTCTGCTTGAGCTCAAACTGATGATACATTTTTAAAAAACAATTCCTCTGAAAGCAAGATAAAACAATTTTCTATTGGAAATGTGTCTGTCCAGTAAATGTGCTAGCAGCAAATTTTAAATATCCTCCAATCTCCCCCACCAATAAAGAACCAAGCAAAAATCTGAGAATATATCAAAGCATACTGCACTAGGTTCACTATGCAGGTGCATTAGGTTTGCATTTTTTCAAGTTATGTTTTGCTGCTCCCAGTGACAGAACAATAAACATTTGCTGGCATTAAGCTAAACAGCCTAAACCATGGCATAGAACAATATAAAAAAAAATATAAAGAATTGGTACACTTAACAGGACAGTAATACATTTTACTGGAACTTCAAAACAACAACAAAAAAAGTGTTCAGCAGAAATAGGAAATGTACCACTTTGATGTTTGATAGTTGTGCTGTAATTTTTTTATTGCATGGATGTTCGTGGATACATGTGTAGTAAACCTGTCTGGAGTACTGGCTGTGGCACTAATGATCTTCTAATTGCGGTGTCTGCATCTCTCACTCTATTACAGTGGCATCCATCTGGTTTTAGAACATACTACTGGCTTTGATAATCCATAATAGCATCACATACACTCGATACAGTATTACCTTTTCAAGAGCCATCATCTCTCTAACTTACACCAAAGATATGCGAGTGTTTCAAAACTATTAGGAAAACCGTTCTTAATAAAAAAAAAAATAAATAAAAAAAAATCTAGTCACAGGGGAATTACAGTGTATGAAATAACCTTAGGTTACACCACCACCTACTGTTTATATGAAGAACTGCAATAATATTAATTTTGAGAGAACAGGCATTTACTCCATACATGAAGAACCAGTGGAATGGCAAAAAAAAAAAAATCAAATAACAATCACACAAATTATTTTACCTTACCTCCCTTTAAGTAGACCAGCCACAAATAAAAATGTTTAAACCACCTTTTCAATATCTCTCTTAAAATGTACTTTCAAAAATATACTTGGTCACTCAGTTGTTATCGGAAAATTGGTATTTGACAAAAAAAAAAAAAAGAAATATATATATATAGCACACTACATTACAAGCAACAATCATGTTTTGCCACTCAGCCCTAAGACAGGAAACAAAACATATCTGGCCACTATGGTCAGAATAAAGAAACCTGTTGTCATTGATAAAAATAAATACATTACATCAACAAATAAAACTTATGTTGTGATGGGCAGATCATTCAGAGAAGCAGATTGAAAACCACAGCTGTAGTGTTCGTTACATTTCCAGATCATCACACTTTTCTCCTCTAGCAGACAGACAGCAAGGGTTTTGTTAGCGCCATATCTCTCTCTCTCACACACACACACTCTCTCTCACTCATTCATACACACTGTATCACACACACTCTCTCATTTCCAGATGTAGTCAACTGCTAACTCTCTACCCCTCTTAATTGCCAAACATTACACAAACAATATAACAGAAGAAAAGGCTGAGGAGCTGTTTTTCTATTAACGTGTGTACATCTATAGCATGGCAAAATTGGAACAATACTATAAAAGTATTATGAAACCATTTTCATGTTTGATAATGTTTTTGGGGTATTTTTAGTTTTTTTTTTTCCTTTTTTTGTATCGTTTTCAGTTTTCTTGTACAAATATTTGTATAATCTGTTTACATGACAAAAAAAGAACCACTCTTCAAAAAAGAACACATGCATAATTTCTCTTGTAATAATTACATTTTCATGTTCTTATAGACATTTAAAAATCTTTGCACTTTCAATATAACATTTTTATGTAATTTAAGTCTTTTTTTTTTTTAATTTCAGTTTTCCTCAGTGAGGCAAAAGTCCAGGGCTTCAGGTATTGCTCAAGGTGAATTCTCTCTCTCCTACAGTACATTCTCTGGTCTTCCACATCTCCATTAAAGCAGTGCAGCTCCCCTATGGGCAGTGAGCAGAAGCTGCGCAGAAGCCAGAGGAGTTTTAAACACTCCCACATGATTTCAGTCCCATGGCATATGCCCACTTGACTTATTCTTTTTTTGTGTGTGTTTTGTTATTTTCCTTTTCCAGCTACAAAGTCACACGCATCCCTTGAACAGTGGGACAGGAGAGAAAAATGATACCACCAGCACCCTTCAGTGGTCAGAAAAATTAAGAGCAGGTGTGAGTCTGCAGTAACAGCTCCCCCTATCTACACAGGTCCCCATGCGCTACCTCACGCTGAGGTTTCCTCTTCTTTAAGAGGAGTTTTTGAGACTTGTTGTTTTGCTGCATCTTGTTGGGGTTGCTGTGTGACCCTTGAGCACTTTTGTTAGCAAGCTGTCGGCTCTGAATAAAACAAGAAAAAATACACAAATATGACACTAATGTTAAAGTAATTTACAGATTTAATATCAGTTAATGCATTAGGTATCATCAAATAAAAGTGAAAATTTAAAAGCATTTATTAACCTAGACTAGTTTGTTCATTTTCTGTCAAGGTTTGTTCATAATATATTAGTGAAGAAGGTGAAGGTGAAGAAGAAAGAGAATGAGAAGAAGAAAGAGAAGAAAAAGGATAAGGATGAGAAAGGCGAAGAATGAGAAGAAGAAAGAGAATGAGAAGAAAGAGAAGAAAAAGGATAAGGATGAGAAAGGCGAAGAAGGAGAAGAAGAAAGAGAAGGAGAAGAAAGAGAAGAAGAAGGAAAAGAAGAAGAAGAATGAGGAGGAGGAGAAGAAAAAGGTGAAGGCGAAGAAGGAGAATAAGAAGGATAAGGTGAAGGAGAAGAAGAGAAGAAGGTGAAAGAGAAGGAGGAGAAGGAGAAGAAAAAGAAGGTGAAGAAGGAGAAGCAGGAGAAGAAGGTGAAGGAGGAGAAGGATAAGAAGAAGAAGAGGGTGAAGGAGGAGAAGAAGGTGAAGGAGAAGAAGGATAAAGTGAAGGAAGAGGAGAAGAAGAGAAGAAGGTGAAAGAAAAGGTCAAGGTCTCAATTTTATCAAGTATTTTTGGGAAAATAGGTAGCATATAGATATATATATGAAGAGTTCAGATGCAAAAGCCTCTAAATGCCATTTGAAATTTTCTTCTTTAATGATGATTTTTATGAAACTTGTATATTTAAGTTCAGTAATTTCACTTAAATAACAATTAATAGGTAATTATCATTGCCATTTAAGTGAAATCACTGAACTTAAATATACAAGCTTGATAAAAATGATAATTTTAGAATAAAATTTCAGATGGCACTTAGAGGCTTTTGCATCTGAACTCTTCATATATATATATATATATATATATATATATATATATATATACAGTATATATAATAGGCATATCACGATTCAGAGGGCTGCGATTTGATGCTAAAGCGATTTATCGATCATCTGAATCTTTTTGTTGTGTGTGTGTGTGTGACTAAACATACTTTGCTTTAAAAGTACAAAGTAATGACCCATAAAGAATTAAAGTACAATAGATTTTATTAACATTGCAAAGAACCAACAGAAAAATAAATGTGTGCCTGAACTAGCAGCATACCTGTAGTAAATAAATAATATAACAGCGACCGGTACAGACGAGTTTTTTTTCCTCCTCTGGCTGGAAACGCGTCATATGGCTTCTCATATTTGTTGCGTTTCTGAAATATTAGTTTTATTCTACAAAGCTTACATCTAGTGTGGCTCTTGTCCAGCTCCTTTCCCCCTTCAACTTCAGAAGCCAAAATATTTCCACACATCACTGTTAACGAGGAAGGTGTTTGGATTTCACACTCAGCCATCGCGTATCTGTTATGTGCACACCACAGACGGTCTGGCCACTGCACTTCTGCGCTTCAGAGTTCTGTCTTTTGCAGTCCGTCAATATTCCGTTATTATAAATATATATATATATATATATATAAACATTTTTTGACATTTAAGAATCGATTTAGAATCGTCCACGTCCGCATTGCGATGCATCTAAGAATCGATTTTTTCCCCTACCTCTAGGGATGGCTCGATACCACAATTGTGGCTTCGGTACGATACCAGAAACTAATACCTCGGTATCGATACTAAATCGATAACACAGTTGAAAAAAAAGTATCAATGTAAGTGAATTGAAACAATTTTATTAAAAAACACTGCTTGAAACTCTCCACTACCAAATGTGTAAAGAAACAGTATCAAACTGTAAAAATAAATAAAATTAGTCAAGGAACAAACAGTAGGTAAAATTTTGATTTTGAGAAAAAAAAACAAAAAAAACAACAACCTGATTTTATACATTTAAAATAGGTTAATATCTATAATAATATATGAAAATATAATATTAAAAATAATAGAATAAGCTGTCATGCATCAACAGATGCATCATTATCAACATTTATTCATCTTGGTTTGGATACTGTTTGGTTTGCGTTTTGGGTTCATATAAAGCATATAATGCATTGCATAGTAATGTTAACATGCTGAACATGTATTACTATATTACATTTTTTTATTGCACTGTTCAGTGTTCAATAAAAGTCTAAATTAAATCAGTTGAATGATGAACTCACATCAATCTCTGAACTCTTTCAACGAGTCAGGATGAGCATACTGCTCTCTCTATTTATTGATTTCGGGCGTGTAGAGATTCGAATGAGCTTCGTTCGATCCATCGTGTTCCTCCGTCGTCACCGTTTGCCGGTTTCGCGTGAACCGCGTCGGTTTAGGTAGCGCACTGCCGCCTAGCGGAGAACTTCCAAACAGTAGCGCATCAAATACCGAATTGAACAAAATTATGATACTGTACCGTTTGAAGTATATTATATACCGGTAATTTTGCAGTACTGGTATACCGCAGATCCCTAAGAGAGATAGATAGTCAGTCACTTTTTAACAGGTTCTTACCTTATTTCCCTTATTAGTGGGGGTGGGTATTGTTGCTGAATGATTTTGAGATCTGTGATTGGACAGATTCCTTTCTGTATTCTCACTGTAAGAGCCCCGCCCACCCAAAGCTTTCGCTGTCTTATAGGGTGTTCCATCAGAATCCTGCAGAAAGCCAGTAAAAAAACTGTATTTTTTTTTCTTTGTACTTCACCAATACAGACAAAGTAAAATCATTTATTTGTTTGATTTTTTATGCCAAAAGTATGAAGGACTTACCGCATCACTTGAGCTAGAGGCCGTTGAAGATGAAGATGATGATGGTGATGAAGGAGAAGAGGGGGAAGGAGACGAGGAGTTGGATGACACTTTGCTCCGGGGGGCAGGAGGAAGCCCAACACCATCCTCTGAAAGGTTATTATTACACTCATCAAGTTCCTCAGGCTTAACTAGCAGTGTGACATCATTTGCTATAGAGAAACAAAAAAATTATATTCAGCTTTCTAGAGTGAGAGACGGATGAAAATAAGCTCAGAAATAATGCCTTACCATTACAGTTGAGGACCGGCTCTTTGTTGCTCTTCTGACCCCACTGCGCACTGATCCAGTCACGGTATTCTGCTACTTCCTGTGTGACACGGATTATTCTACCTAGAATACTGTGGGGAAAAGATAAAACCAAGAATCAGAATATTAAACACAGAATTTTTTTTTTCACCTCTAATTGTTAATATTAGATTTTACAATATTGTCTGTTAGTTTGTATTTGTTGATTTTTTAGGGCCGTCAAACAATTAATCGTGATTAATTGCATCCAAAATAAAAGTTTGTGTTTACAAAATATATGTGGTTGCAATGTGTATGATTATTTGTGTGTGTGTGTGTGTGTGTGTGTGTGTGTATATATATATACATATAAAAATGCACACACATGCATGTATATTTAAGAAAAAAAATAATTATATAATAAATATAAATTAATTATAAATCTGTATACAGTATATACATAAGATATTTCTTAAATATATACAAGCATGTGTGTGTATTTATATATATATATAAAATAATTATACACAGTGCACCCACATATATTATGTAAACACAAACTTTTATTTTGGATGCGATTAATTACGATTAATTGTTTGACAGCCCTATTTTTTTTTTTTAAGCATTGTATGGCATGAGCTGACCAATGCTCAGAAATGTATTAGAAGCAACAAGCTTTTTGCAGGGTTTTCACTCACTAAAAAAAAAAAAAAAAAAAAAAAAATCATAATTTTTCAAGGACTTTACAAAAAAATTAGGAACAACTGAAACCACACGTATGCAAACAACAACAAGTGCACAAATGTGCGTATACATGTTGCCAACGAGAGGTCTGAAAACATGCATGTGTTTATTGTAGTAAAATAGGTAAAAATGTTTGTTGAGAAGTTCTTCAATGTATAGATAAAAATATTCCTTGCAATTAATAGTGACTGAGACCCATTATCTATAATAAGGAGAACATATTCCCCAATCAAGAGCTTGAATACAGAGGTCCTAGAGTTTACACTACATATTACATCATGGCTCAATAAAGTGTCTATCAAATTCACAACTTAATACAAAATTTATTTGATATATTGTCCAGCCCTAACAGCTGAGAAAATGAAACGCTCACCTCTCTGACTTGTTGTTGGGGTAGTACTTGGCAATTGGAGATACAGCGTGAGTTAAGACAACATAAGCGTAGTCAAAAGCCTCTTTCACCTGCATCGCCCCATATGAACTTCGCCCTACATCATTTCCTGTGGTACACACAAACACACAGAAACAAATTATAAGAATTAGAACATATTCCAAACAATCTTTGATGCTATTTTCATATCAATTGAACGGTTTAAAACTGTTCAGTGTGTGCATAAGTGTTTGTATGTGTACCTGGCTGCAATGGATCTTCAATGTAAAGCATAGAGGGTCTGTACCCATCCAGCATGCCTTTCTGCACTTCATCTTTGGCCACGTATGAGCCCCCGTCTTTGATCCTGATCCCCGTCTTCAGGTAGTTAAAATGCCGTCCGTACAGCTCAAAAAACTCAATCAGCAGCACACCAAGGTTTGCGTTTGAACTACACACGTCCTCTCTACAGTGCAGCTGGGAAATAAAACAGCAATTAGAATTGTGATGAAATTGCTATTTTAGCAAAAAAGCCTATAAACAATTTCCATTAAATGGGTGATTATCACTTCGAAGGTAAATCTGCCAAGGCATATACCTCTGATAGCAAAAGCAAGCTTTAACAAGCTGATATTCACAAAGAGAAGCATTACATCATTCAAGTTTAAAATAACCATTTTCTATTTTCAAGGTTTTCCTTCGTTAAAAAAAAAGAAAATTTGGCCGCCAATATGAATCTTTGACCCGCCAAAGGGTTATTTGGTTTATTTAATGTGATGATGATACCCGCTGCTAGCCGGCTGCTTCAAAACGTTCCTGTGAGTGTTTGTGTAAGCGCTTTGTGAAGAGCGCCAAAGCTTTCTATTTACAACTGTTGAGCTAAGGAGCCAATCACAGACATATCTGTTGAGCACGTGAACGACACAATGGCCAATCAGATGTGTTCAAGTTAGTCAGAAAACCTCTACACCATTAAAAAAGGCTGAGTTTTTATTCATCGAGAGCTCTGCATGCTGGTGAATCCTTTCATTATAAACGACAAAGTGTAAGAAATATGTAAATAAAAGATTTATTGCACAGCATAGACAGTTAATATCAGCAAAGATCTTTGCTTGCTTTCTGTAAATAACATATATATTTTAATTGCAATGCAAAGCGTTTGGATTAACAATATTTAAATGCACAACTGAACCATAGCAATGGACAGAACTAAATCCGATACTGTTTGCCAAATGATTTGTATATAAAGTCTTTGAGTATAAATGCAAAACAATGAACCTGGCACTTTTTCTATGTAATGTGTTACTTTGCTGTTAATTTTATTACTAACTTTTCAAAACAGTCATTGATGTTAAATACAAACACACACTCTAAAATACACACTCTCAATAGTACCCTAAAATAAGAATGTAGAAGAATGTTACCTGTAAGAAGCTGACAGCCATGAGGAACAGACTGTATGAGCCGATTCCTCCTGTGAAAACCTCATTTAACTCTCTTTGCAGTAAAAACTGCTTCAAAACCAGAACCAGGTACGGCAACACAGGATATCGCTGAAACACACAGACACACACACACACAAATACAAACAGGTCAGAACATGAAACTGTTTAACGTCAAGAATAGGGGAGAGCCAATAGCAGGTATGACATCACTTTCTAGGCCCGGTTCCATTATCCGAAAGTCAATGGGTTTTTTGAATGGGGTTTCGGTTAAATGGCTGAAATAAGGTCTGCGGTGAACGCAAGCTCAAGACACCTTCACATTTTATTCTACGACATAAAATACATCAATATTACTCCACTTTGTGGTGGTGATGTAGAATTTGTGGGAATAATTGATATAAATTCACTGGCAGTGGCACAGTGTACATTAAGGAGATACGACCTCTGGTGACAATCCAGTGTAGTTGGTTCAAATTAGTTTCTAAAACCTAAACAGCTCCATTCAAAATCAGCATTCCTTATAAATTAATCACTTGAGTTGAAAGAAGTTAGAAAACCTCCACACCCACCCGTTTGAAGTCCTTGATGAGGTTTGCAGCTTTTACACCACTCTGTACATTAAAGCTGATGTCCACTTTTACCTCTGTGTGTGCATCTGTCAATTTAATGATGGGGACCTATAGACACACAGAGCATTAAAAGACAAGCAGGGATTTCTGACTGATAGATGCCAAAAAACGCCCAACACACATGTACGACACACGGCAGTGCTCGTACCGTTGCTTTATCCAAGACTTTAACAGAGTTTTCATCTGCCACTTGTCTCTTGCGAAGCGCCTCTTCCAGAGTCCAAAGAGGTAAAGTCTCCCAGTGACCAAAAACCACCAAGTCTATATCACTGATATAAAGAGAGAGGATACAGATGAGAGAAAGGCTTAAATAAAGCAGCAAACAGAAATCATTCTCCTCTTAAGAAATAAATAAATAATCCAGTAAATGATGAGTCCATGTATTGATGTTTTGGGAAAAGCTTGATGGCTTTTAATAAATTAAAAAAGATTATCTAAGTGCTCCTAAGAATGTTAAGAATTTACTGACATCACATAACTGAGTGCAACTGAATAAGCAGAGCTAAAATTACAAATCTTAATCCATCCATGCAAACACAAAAAACGTTCAAATACACATACATCTACACGTCATAATACTTGTATAATACACAATTACAACAATTCTTAAACCTTTGTTTAGCTCAAACCACAAAACAGTTAGATACCATAAGAAAATTGTGCTCAGTGAAAAAAAAATGTAGCAAGATAAAAAAAAAAATCATCATAACATTACCTTGTAGGTAAATACAAGCCTGTGCTGAAGCTTCCAAACACTTCAACCTGCAATCAGAAAATAGGAAAAGAGGTTCAACTCAGTCTTCCCCCAAAAGAACCCAACAAACATCCTGTGTTCATATTTAAAACTGAAAAAAAGAAAAACAATGAAAAGCTGTGAGTTCAGATGCACGAATGTATGTTGACAGAACTGCACATTACATCTGCAAGCCTATGGTGCAATGTACTCCACACCTTAAAAGGTGCAGTATGTAAGATTGACAGCTAGCGGTTGAAATGGGTACTGCAGTCCAAATTCAAAATATTGGAGAGTTGTTTCCCTCACCCCCTTCTCCTCAGATTCGATGCTCACGCGGGTTGCCAGATCGAAGAAGCAACAGGAACAAGCGCAATTGTCAATGGAAGGCAAAAAGCCTTACACTAAACTGAAAAGTTCATTTTAATATGCCTCTGGTCATAGAGCTTTTTAGATTTAGATCACTGACCCAGTTTGTTTGGTGAGTTCCACCAGGGGTATCAAAATACTATTAGGTAAATGGGCAGTGGGCGGGAAAACAAAAACAAAAATACACATTCCAACAAAGAATACACTTTTAAAAGTGGAATAACTTGCTGCACAATTGTATTTTGGCATGTTTCCTAAATATCAGGAAACATATGGCAATTTATGCTTTAGTTCAGTCAAAAAAAATATATGCAGTGCCTTTAATAAATAATTATTAAATTATCCCTAAATTATTAAATTATATATATATATATATATATATATATATATGAGCATAAATAATTAACCCTAAAACAGACAAGTGTAGAAAATGATCATCAAAAAATTCAAACTTTTTATATCGTCTGGACTTAAGTAAAACATATTCAAAACATTTTTTGAAATATTTGATGTAATTTGGGGGAAAAAAAGCAAGCTTCTCTGGCTCCTCCCAGTGGTCTTATTGCCATTTACAGAAATACACCTATCCCAGTCTGAAACAACCAATCAGTATGGTCTTATATATGTGCCAAAATCTTGAGTGAGTAATTGTAAGTTGAGCACAGGGGGAACTATTTTGCAAGGACGGTGCATTATATTTTGAACAGAAATTAACAAATGGAGCAGCGTCTTATGCCACCAGCGTCACTGCGGACAGAACCGGAAGACAATAGCGCGAAACATGTAACGTTAAAGCGAAACTTGAAAGTAGGGAAGTGTTTATATTTATTTTCATATTAATGCATCCATGGCAGATATCATATTGATTGTGCCTCATTGTCCAAATATCCAGAATACGAATAACATAAACCTCAAGAAAACAATCAGTTTAACTAAAAGGTGTGTGAGTAACACGATTCCCGAACCTCTGCATTTGGCCACAAGTCTTTGATGACCCTCTGGATCCTGGCCACCACCTCCAGCCTCATGTGCTCCTCCTCTGGACGAGGAGAAATGTAATCATAAAAGTCCTTTATCTCTTCATGCAGCCTGGAGAGAAAAAGAAATAAAGTGTTACATAATCTAGTTAGAGTGATTGCATTATTAGCAATAAAGTTATTTAATGTGTAACAGAAATACATTAAAAGTAATTTAGCAGCACAGTACCAGGTGATGATAAATGATAAACCTGATGTTTGATAATAAACCTAGTTTCTGATGACCTGGGCTGTTGTGAGTGTCATTCAATAACAATAAAAGGAAGAATAAACACAACCAAAACTATGCATACAAAGGTTTTATGTTTCACCAGGTTAAATACACCTAAACTACTGCCTTATGCGCTCATTGTGAAATAAATGTACAATTTAAGATATAAGTTTTCTATTTTAATATATTTTAAAAACAGCAACGCTGAATTTTTAGTAGCTATTGTCACATGACCCTGCAAAAAAATCATTCTAAGACCAGACAGATTTTTTTGCATATCCAGATTTTATCCAGATTGGGGTTTTAAAAGTCTGGAGAGCAAAAAAAAAAAAAAGATTTGGCTGCTCAAATAATATTTCAAATTGTATTTTGCTTCACTCTTAATGCAACACACAACGAAGGAAATGGCAGAAGTATTAATACGATGTTCAAGCGGCATGTCCAAAAATGTTGGCATTTTCTTGTGTGCCAGAGGAGTTCTGCACCAAGTCTCAACAGAGTGCTTATTTGAAGAGCTAGATGATGTGCCTCCATTTTTCCTGCATCTGTTTTGAAAGCCTCATTACATATGTGGGTCCACCTCCATTATTACCAAAGAAACACATGCAGATTTGATCACTTGCAATTAATAGTCGGTCTGCCTGAAAAATCTGATTTGAGGAAAAAAAAAAATATTGCCTGCAGTCTGAACATGCTGATTTGGTGCTCAATCAATGTTGTCTTTTGCTCAAGACAAAATGTCTGTTTGTCTTTAAAAAAAAATTTAAAAATCTAATAACACTGTACTGTGTGTATGCTGTCAGGTAAATGATGAGAATATTGGTTGACATAACTCAGGGTGACAGAAGAACAAAGAAACAAATTCACACACCCTAGTTACAGGCAAGTAAATATCCAAAGGCAGGTTATTACAGCAGGGACAGCTAGTGAGGCTTCTGAGTCAGGAAGAGGGAGAGTGAAACAACTATCTAGCTGACGCCTCTTTATTACACATCTTTAATAATCTGAACCAAGTTCATTTCAACCTGAATGCTTAAATGTAGTATTCTGACACAGAAACTACCCTGGTATGTTACCTAGATGGCAGAGTGGCTTCTCCGGCTAAGAACTGAAGTCTTTCCTCCTGAGGTTGAACACAGAATCTGTGTGGACACTACATTTACACCTACACTAAATTAACGTTCTGCATTCTATTTTTGCTAACAGCTAGAGTGGCCTAACATTAAATATACTGTTCTTTCACAGTCAAGTACACTCTAAACAATGCTGGGTTGTTTGAACCCAAATTTGGGTCAAATATGGCCAAACCCAAATGTTGGTTTAAAATGTAATTTAAAATTTTAACCCAACTTCAACATTCACTTTCAACTTTAAATTTGTTAATTGCATTTTTAACCCAACATTTGGGTTTGTCCATATTTGGGTTGAAACAACCCAGCATTTTTTTAGAGTGTAGGGCTGGGCGATATGGCAAAAAATTCATTCTCAATATTTTTCAGAACAAGTGACTGATTCAAGATTTGTATTTATTTATTTTTTTTTATGTTTAACTAGTCAACTTAAAATGCATGAGTCCACATTACAATATAGAATGATCTGTTATCAGAGGTAACGGTCTAAGTTATGTATTTCAGAAATGTGCATATACAAAATCACAGTTAGCTAAAAAGGTATTATTTTAAACAAAGTATTAATGGTTTTCAACTCTTAATTTAACTCAACGCATTCAGTGTGAACAGCCGCTGTTGCTGTATGATGTGATGTGTTCTATGTTCATAGAGAATGTCACACGAAAGCGGTTAATCAAATGCGCCATCTTGTGGTCAGATCATTTTCTTCTCTCAACTGTTATCATTTCAGTATTGTCAACATGACTAATTGTAACGTTTGCTAACATTTCTATTCAAATCGTGGCGAAACATTCAATTCGAATTAATCGAAGAAAAAAAAAACGACCAGGCCCACAATCCAGTCTCTCTTCCACTTCCACATTTGACACCAAGGGAATGTTAGTGGGGCCCATTTAATTTGTTACATCTTTAGTGCAGAACAAGGTGTTCAGTCTTTTAATCCCAGCATCCCTTATGTTCGACCAGAGCTGCCAAACTAAAGTTCTTCCTCTAAAGAGTACGAGAATTAAAAGGCTTACCCAAGTCATCAGCCCAGACATTTTAGAAATGGAAAGGACAGGTGAGAAACCATCATGCTCTGAAGAACAACTTGCACTTTGGGAATCCTAGGCTAGGTATCTTACTTAAGAATGACTCACTCATCAAAAATGCTGGGAATTGTTCAAAAACTATGCACTGATTTCCATTTCAAATGAAAGATTCGGTTTCATGAAAGTAAAGGTGCACTCAATGGCATTTGCTTATCTGAGTGGCAACACTGAATGAGAGCATACAGTTTTTATGTCAAGGAAGGTCTTAGTACCACCAGTCACCCGAGTTGCAAAAACAAGTCATGCAAAGCTTTGAGAATAAACACCAACACAGACACACACAAGTCTCTCGGGGTCCGATCAGTGTCTAAACGCATTTGTCTGACAGTGATGGTGAAACAAAACTGCATGAGAAATTTCTGCCCTTGGCATGACGCTCTGCAGAGGCAGTCTGACAGCATTCATCAGATCTGGCCACCACTGCAACACGAAAACACCCACTGCAGACTCCACAGACACAACCACCTCTCATATAGTGCGTAAAAACTGAATCGAGTTCTCTTTCGTGTCTTCTTGCACTTGGACAAACGCACACATAATTGTCAAAATATCCTTTTAAACAGAATCGTGTTTGTCTTGAGTAAAGATTGTTGTCTTGAGTAAAGTTTTACCATTATTTTCCACAATAGTTAAGATCAGCAAAACAAAAAATGGGGGGTGGGTTGGGGTTGTTAACGTAACTTTACTTTTTATTTATTATTAAGCTGAAGTCCACAGTTTTTCCTCTTTGTCGCCATCTGTTCGAAATCTGCAGTTGCAGTCATTCGCCGAATTATCAACTTAACGTGATAAAGCGTACGCGTAGAATTGGTCTGCTAGAACCACTCCCCGGGTTTCACGTGCGCCCTCTGCAAGTGTAATTGCGTGTGGACAACGACGCAAAAGTATAAATGAAAACCAAAATATTTATAGGAGATTTTCCCACGTTTAAACTTGTTTTTTTTTATTATTCAGTTTGGGTGAAAGTATGGTATATTTTAAAAAAAGTAAAGTATCAAAATATGATGATTATATCATGAAATTATGATATATAAAGTTTATTTTATTTATTATGCACAGACATGAAGCATCTTGCTGCTGCTGTGACGCTGTACAAAGCACTGCATACTTGTGTGCGTCTGCAGCAGAGTTTCCTTTGAGTTTCAAATTGATCAGCAAAGTTTTCGTGTTACGGACATTTTGATGATGTGCTGGTCAAATATTGCCCCTAAATTAGTCAAGTTGAGGAAAACTGGAGGCAGGCTACGTAAATTTAGAAAATGACCTAATAAAACCGTGTAGAACGCAACATGTTTATTAGCCTAACTTTCAAATAGACGAAAAAAAATGATTGTCCGATTGGCGTCAATCAACAGAGAAAGGTTGATTTTGAGAAGGGTAAGAGAAGGGTTGATTTTGGCATTTAATGATATACAGAAATGATTACAATGCCACATAACCTAAAACATAACATTAACTTTCCTATTCTGTCACATAGTAATGACTACGGAAAATCAGCTGTTCTCACGTAGTATTCGGTTACAGTAGAACGTCGCCAAGTAGCAGTTAATGTCGCGCATGTGCAATAGAATGACAGAATGCCGTTGCCGTTCCACCAGAGGCTGTTGCTTAAAGTCCATAATGGAAGTTATGTGGTCGCGGTGCCCAGCGCTCGTTTTTTCCAAGCGCGTCCGCGCCGCATCAAGATAAAAACATCTCAGTGTGGATTTAGGTAGGGTTCTATTTTTAACTAAAAATCGTAACTAAATTTTTTTTGCCGGTTTTTGAAAGCTTTGTTCAAAAGGATTCAGTGTTTTCTTTTTGTCATCTTAATATGTTAATTATTTAAGTTAAAATATATTTAGTGTTTGCCAATTTGTGTTTTTTTGTATTATTTTATTCTGTTTTTCTCTGTTGTCACTGTCAGGTGCATGCAAATTTTATCTGAATCCAGGTTCTATTGTTGATCTCTTCTGTGTGCAGCTGTTTGCACATAAAAATTCCACTCTTTGGAAATTAATTTTTTTTTTAAATGTACTTTTTTAACAGGTCACAGATAAGCATACATTTTATTTTTATTTAATGCCAATTCAATATTATAATCTTATCAATTAATGGTTAATATCGATTAACGAGCGGCAGTTGTCGGTCGGGAAAATTAACCGAAATGAGCATCCCTACTGGATATATTTTGTTAAAATCACATAAGGACTTTGCAGGCTGTGGAGAAAAGCAATCCTCCATAGGAACGCTGTCATGACAGCGAGGGTGTCACGTCGCAGGCTTACGGCATCGATAAAAGACTCAATTTTATTTTATATACATTTTAGGATAATTCTCAAATTCAGATTTTGTTAGGGGGGCAGGATTATTAGGCCATTTTAGTCGGACAATTTGAACGAAGAGATTTACTTTTGTTGGACATTTCATTTATTTTTTTTGCCGTCCAATATCCGGTAATTACCGGACAACGGAAACCCTCATCTGCAGCTTAAGTGACGATGTAGTGGTGAAAAGACAAAGATCAGACAATATTACAAAATTATCCCAATAAACACATACAAACTTTCATAGACTCATAAAACAAGAACACACATTTCCATTTATAGCAAATTAGTAGTAGAAGTAGTAGTAGTAGATT